TCAGGTTGAACAACCCAGGCACCACAGTCTTCACAGAGGACTGTAACGTCCTGTTGAAGCTGGTGATGTCCGGAGAGAAGACCAACTCTCTTGGACAGAAGCTGCCGCAGAAGGGGGACGTGGAGATGCTCTGTGGTGGGCCACCCTGCCAAGGCTTCAGTGGAATGAACCGCTTTAACTCGCGCACATACTCAAAGTTCAAGAACTCGTTGGTTGTCTCGTATCTGAGGTGAGCAGAATGAGTCTTGCTGTGAAAAGGTTGTTCTGCCTATTTGGATATATGCTGCTGGATGCATTTGCCATTGTGATCGATTTTTCCTTTCAGCTACTGTGACTACTACAGACCCAAGTTCTTCCTGCTGGAGAACGTGAGGAACTTTGTGTCATTCAAGCGCTCCATGGTCCTGAAGCTCACACTGCGCTGTCTTGTTCGCATGGGCTACCAGTGCACCTTTGGTGTGCTACAGGCAAGTTAAAATTAACCCTCTAATCGCCAAAGTCGCAAAATTGTGACAAGACGTCATACTTAATAAAATAGGCTGTAGTTCCTAATATGGTGTAATACCTCGTTTGTATTCCCTACCACTAGCTGGCAGACATGTAGTACTTCGATTCTAGACCAAAATGATGTCATGTTCCTATTCAAAGTGTTCGAGCAAATAGCAGAGCAAGTGAGCTATCGTGTCATTGATGCGGGTTCAGTTCAGAGCATCGGAGTAAATTGTGAGATTTGTGAGAATCTCCAAATGGCTAATAAAAAGTTGTACCGTGAGGATGTTGCAAATGTTATTCGCCGACTCTGAAGGGGAATATTTGCCTTTTGGAAATGATAGGTAGTCTAATGATCGCGCTTCTTCCGGTACATCTTTGCAGCGCAATGGTGCCGCTGTGCAAGGCGCGAGTTCACGAAGCACAAACCAGTGATCACCCCTGCCATGGGGGTGGCAGAGGTGGACGTGGTCATAGTGTCCATAGGAGAGCTGTTGGTAGAGGCAGCAGGGTTAGGAGAAATAGGGCTGGAAGTAGCACTAGCTGCCCCAAAGAGGTGGGAGTGGCCACGGTACACGTGGCAGTGCTGTGCGTGGTAGAGGCCGCAGGGGTGATCTGGATCTAAATAGGGCTGGAAATGGCAATGACGATGGTGGCTGGGTTTATTTGAGAAATGAAAGCGTATCAAGACTGGATCAAACGCTTTGGTGAGCCTGTTGGTAATTTAGTACTATCGTTTTATTGTTGGTTTCCTCTTTTCTGATCATTTGGAATGAGGATAAAAATGTAAAAACCCGCAAATAAGTACAAACATAAATTCAATATCTACTATTTCCTGAATATGAAATTCAAGATGGCCGCCTCTGTCATATGCAAGTTAGACTAGTATATTTACACCCCACAAACTTTCGGTCATGCCCAACATTTTTCTAATTTAAAGATAGAGATCTATTGTAAGCCCTTTCAAGCCACAAGCTTTTGAAATCTTGATATCAAAATCCAGCATTTTCCCCAAAAATCCCTGGCGCCTAAAGGTTTAAGTAACAATGAAGTGGTGGTTTTTTTTTTTTTTTGGGGTTTGTTTTTTTAAGTAACAATGAAGTGGTGTGTTTTTTTTTTTTTTTTTTGGGTTTGTTTTTTCCTTCCCTCTAAGCAAAGGACTGAGTGCACTATTTTTCCACCCCCTTTTTAATCACTCTAATTTGTTTCCGTTTTAATGTCTTTTTTTTGCAGGCAGGGCAGTATGGGGTGGCCCAGACCAGACGCAGGGCGATCGTTTTGGCTGCAGCCCCTGGTGAAAAGCTGCCCCGCTTTCCTGAACCCCTGCATGTGTTCGCCCCACGTGCTTGTTCTCTTAGTGTGGTGGTTGATGAGAAAAGACATGTCAGCAATGTCACTCGGTAAGCATTTGGTGTTACCCCAATTGTGTTGTCACTAACATATTCTGGTTTCTGCTCTTATCACACCATTTATTTTTTTTGTCCAGTGGAAATGGAGGCGTTTATCGCACCATCACTGTGCGGGACACAATGTCTGACCTCCCAGAGATCCGTAACGGAGCTGCAGCTCTGGAAATCTCCTATAATGGCGAGCCACAGTCCTGGTTCCAGAGGCACATTCGTGGCTCTCAGTACCAGCCCATCCTCAGGGACCACATCTGTAAGGTCAGTTCCTTCACCTTGAAGGTGTTTTGACATTTGGAAAAGTTACATGGTTCATCAGTGGCTTTAATAAACCCGGTTTTATTTTTTGCATTTGACTTGTAGGGTATACTTGTATCAAAGCTAGTTGTTTTTCTGTAAGAAATTTCCTGCGAGATCTACAGGAAGTTATTCAGCAGGCTAAAACTCTTCTCTAACCCTTAATGTGTCATTTAAAGGGTTAGATGAAGAGCATGTTTCTGTCTTCTGAATGTCAAAAGTCTTATGAAGAGAAAAGGCACTTAAAACTGCTACACTTGTGGTTTAAGTAGTTGGTTTTGTGTTGTAGGACATGAGTGCCCTGGTGGCGGCCCGTATGCGCCACATTCCTCTGGCTCCTGGCTCTGACTGGAGGGATCTGCCCAATATTGAGGTGCGGTTGCGGGATGGCACCACCACAAAAAAGCTTCGCTACACCCACTTCGACAAAAAGAATGGCCGCAGTGGCACCGGTGCCCTGAAAGGAGTGTGTTCCTGTGCTGAGGGTTGGTCCTTCCCAAATAATTCAATCTGTTTTTTTTATTTTTTTATTTATATATATATATATATATATATATATATAAATAAATAGAAGTCCTGGCTTTACCAGTTGTTGTCTCTCATTGCACTAGGAAAACCATGTGACCCTGCAGACAGGCAGTTCAACACGCTAGTTCCCTGGTGTCTGCCTCACACGGGTAATCGCCACAATCACTGGGCTGGTCTGTACGGCCGTCTGGAATGGGACGGGTTCTTCAGCACCACAGTTACCAATCCTGAGCCTATGGGCAAGCAGGTATTGCCATATGCTAACCAGTCACAATATGAATTATAACAACAATAATTGGTAAAGTTGTATCATGTTGTGATTTATACTGGTAACCGTTTACAGGGACGTGTCCTCCACCCTGAGCAGCACCGTGTGGTGAGTGTCAGGGAATGTGCACGCTCGCAGGGATTTCCAGACACCTACCGCTTTTTTGGTAATGTCTTGGACAAACACCGACAGGTATGATGCCTGTGCTAAAATGGGTTGTTTCTTATTTTTTTGGGGGGGGGGAGGAGGAGGAGGAAGTATTACTAATCCATGACCTTGTGTTTCTCAGGTTGGTAATGCTGTGCCTCCACCCCTCTCCAAAGCCATCGGCCTGGAAATCAAGAAGTGTGTGCAAGGAAAGATGGAGAATGCTACAGGTGACTTTAAAAAAAAAAAAATATATATATATATTTTTTTTTTTATTTTTTTTTTTAAATCTCGCTGTTAAAAGGAAGTTTAATCTCTTGTTCAACTTCCTCAGAGCCTGTGAAGCAGGAGAAGATTGAGGTTTGCAACTAAAGCCATCTCCATAAAACTGCCGCACATTTACATTGTGTTTGGGAGCATCTTGACGCATCAGCCCATTAAACTCATTCCATTTATCCATAAGCTGGTCCGGAGCTGGCCACTTCAGTGGCATTTCAATGGACAGTCTGTGCAGTGCCATTATGTGATGTTTTATCAATTTCTCAATGTGATTTTAATCGTGTATTTGCAATTATCCACTCTGAGACAGTGGTATTAAATTCTATGTAGTTTTTATATGTTGTAATATTTCAAATAAAGCTCTTATTCAATGGTGTCGATGTTTATTTTTCCCCCACGTCTTAAATCTGGTAAATAGTCCCAAGGGAAATGCATTTAAATTATTAAATTGATTGGCATGCTCTCAATTACCGCGTTGTGAGCTCACTTCTTACTGGACATTACGGTGTAGTGAAAAGGAAGTTACGCTTGCAATAGCACCCTAACAGACAAGTGGGTGGGAGGAGAATGTGTGACTTGTGAGCACATGGATTCTTCAATTAAATCTCGAGCCTGTAAAAAAAAATATATATATATTGAGATGTAAAGTTTACTCCATGTAACCTGCAGTGCCTTTACTTTTTATGCCACGTGCATAACACTCAATGCACATTTTCAATGTTCAAATCACATGTAAAAAATAATGAACATGCCAATCATAAGCACGGTGTTTGAGCTTCTAAGGTTTTCTACTTGAGGCACTAGTCAACTTTATGGGTGTGATGGGAACTATATATTTTTGTCTAAAACGTTAAACTGTTCTGTTAATTTGTCTGGTCACATTTAGTTATGAATTACATCATTAAAAGGTAGTCGGTCTCTTCAATTAAAAACTGCACAATCTGTCAAAAATAGTCATAGTTGGCCACATGGAGTATTACTGTTGGTCATTTAACATTTCTATCATGAAACGCTTGTCAAATAATACCCGTTTAGCTACTTATATATTGCTGTACACTTCGCTGTTGGAACGTTCTGGTTAGGTGAACTGAAAACTTGCCTTTTTATTTGATTGGCCATTGATAAGCGCTATCATACTGCTGAGGAAGACCATCCTAAAAAACATTTAAAACCTCTTATCCTAACAGTTGGACCATATTGAGCGGACGTGTCTGTGAGCTTGTCTTTTTAGTGATGTTTGTCTATCTTAAGACTGCCTCTATCCACCTTATTTTTACCATTTTTTTTTTAGACTGGTGTTTGTTACCATTTCTTGCATGTTGTTCCTCTAGTTATTTACTTGCAGCGGTTAATGAATCAAGCGTTGCACATTGACAGAAAATAAGGTTTACAGGATACCTCAGACCAGAACACTAACCTTTAGCAAAGGAATATTTGCATTTTCCACAAGATTTCTTTATTAGTTGCCCATTATTTCTAAGTAAAGCACTGGTTTAGAGTTGCTTGCAGCTTTACTAGTACACTTAAATGCAAGTACTTAGAAAACAAGCTAATTAAAGACAGATCACAGAGTGAAACAGACAACTGGATGCTTTATCATTTGCATTTATTTGGAACACCGCCTGATACAATTGGCAGAACAAATCTAGACCTGGAATATTTATGGAGCTCTGTCAGTTGTTGGAGGGTCTGGAAAGACAAGGAAAGCATGATTAGATCAGAGAAAGCATGGCTGTTGCTCGTTTTAGACTCTTTCAGGAGTACTCACTTGGCCCATTCCACGTTGAGAATGAGATGGTCGTAACCGAAGCCAGACACACCAGCGATGGCTCTGGCAGCGTCCTCACGGCGGTGGAAGCTGATGAAGGCAAAGCCCTAGAGTAATAGGGAAAGAAGTTATATGTGCTATTTTTCTGAAAACATTACTCATGGTTCATGCTGTCATATTCTTAAAACTAATGTAAGCAGATTAATTTTTAGATTAACAATCACACTAATGTTCCTGTTTACTTCTTAGACTGAGTAGATGAGTCAAAATGAATCTTTTAAATTATCTTTCCTTTTTTTGTCATTTGCTCATGAATCCCTGACGACCGTGTTTCACATCTCTCACCTTAGACTGGCCTGTGTTCTTGTCCTTGGCCAGATAGATCCTAGAGATGGAGCCAAAAGGCCTGAAAAGCTCCTGCAGATCCGTCTCCCTGGTGTCCTCGGACAAGTTGGTCACACGGATTGTTGCATTATCATCAGCTGCAGAGAAAATATCACCACATTACCATTAGGCTCTTGATTGAGAACATCATTGTTTAAGATCTGGATGTCAAACGTACCTCTGCGGTTAGGCTGCATGGACTCTCCTCTGCGCGTACCACCGTCCCGCAGGCTGGGGGGAACATACTTCCCAGTCTTGTTTTGGGCAGGTTGAGCAGGCTCTGGCTCTAGACCTCAAAGTAAAATAACTCATTAATCGACTCAACGAATATGCTTAACAGGACAACATGAAGGTTTCATACCTGCTGCCTTCTCTTTTTCTCCCGTGGACAGACCCAGCTGCTCGGCCAGCTCCTTCTGCATAGGACCAAGTGTGTCCTTGTACGGACAGCGAGTGGTCCAGTGATCCCCTTTACAGATACGGCAGGACACGATCTTCTGTCCTTTCAGCTTGTTCATGGGATCTTCATCTTGGTCTTGAGCATTCAAGTCCTGTTAAAACAAGCAGGAGAATCACTTCAAGTTGGCATCGGTACATGTTTTTTTTTTAAAGAATAGTTCACCAAAAAAAATGTATGACAATGTACTCACCTTTAGGCCATCCAAAGTTAGAGTCTCTAACTTTACTGGAACAGAGTTGGAGAAATTTAGCATTACATCACTTGCTCACCAATTAACCCTTTTTAGTGAATGGGTGCCGTCAAAATGAGAGCTCAAACAGTTGATAAAAATATCACAAGTAATCCACAAGACTCCAGTCCATCAATAAACGTTTCATAAAGTGGAAATCCATCAAGTCATTTTATCTTTAAATCAATGCTTCTGACCAAAATACAAGTCTATAATCCATAATTACACTTCCTCTAGTGAAGAAAGTCCATCAGGTGGTCATCTCACATTAAAACCAACCCAAACATTTTTAGGACTGTCTTGGATTGTAAACAATGCTTGATCTGTGCATATTTCTCTCCCGATTCAGACAGGACTACTTTTTCACTGGATAAAGCAATATAATGGATAGATAACTCGTATTTTTGCCAGAAGCAACAGTTTGAAGTTTCAAAACATCTTAATGACAGATTTATTACAAACATGCAGCTTTTCGCTTAAACACGACAGCTGTTTGAACTCTCATTCTGACGGCACCCATTGACCGCAGAGGATCCGTTGGTGAGCATGTGATGTAATGCTTAATATCTGTTCCCATGAAGAAACAAACTCATCCACAATCTTTGATGGCCTGAGGGCGAGTACATTTTCAAGCTAATTTTCATTTCTGGGTGAACTATTTCTTTAATATGCAATGCCTCCGTGTAAAAACTTCATCAGGTTCTCATCATCATACCTCTTTACTGGAGATGAAGGTCATGAAGACGTCATCACTCACTGTGGTGGTGGCAACATTGGGACCTGGTGCATCACGTTCAGAGTTGCCAAATTTTTTCCAGTTCTGTTGGATGAAACAACAATCAATCCCCCCCCCAAAACAAACAAAAACAATATTTTTTGATGTCAATATACTAAAGAAAAATTAAGACATACCTTCCTCCTGGCAACTGCTTTGGAGGCCTTCCGCGTCTCAATTTTGAATGTCCTGACAATCTGCCCATAGAGGAGCAAAGGACAAATATGAAACCGGATTCTTCTGAAACCTTTTGACAAGTACGATATAATATTAAGAAGAACTCTGCTGACCTTACACTTCTGGCCATCTTCATCAATCTTGTATTCCGTGACAGTCTTGATGTTACCTTTGACTGTCTCTTTTGGTGAAGGGAGTGTACCTGTTGAAGTAAGTAAATACACCTGTTATAAATGCATAACTATAGTTTATATGGCATGTCATGCAGTCACAGTATGCATGTATACAAACTAAGACTATTTTAAAAAGCATTTATCTTTTATCGATTTAGTTTAATCCTTTTTACAAGGTTTTATCTGGCCTCACATTAACTGTCTTAATGAAATATGAATGTTTACTGTTGTCACATACTGAAATGAATGGTTAAAAAAAAAAAACTTAAGACGAATTAAATGGTGGGAAACTGTAACCAAGTACAGCACCTGAAATATACACTTTTCCTTGTATACTCGTAGAATTTATTTTACACAAAATCTTTGATGTTAAAAACATTTGCACCCCGTTGCACAGGTTATTTTCAACCCTAATTCTTTTTCAACAAAAAAACAGTCCTCCATTTGTCTAACTGTTGTCACTATACTGCCATACTGTATGGTACAATTTAGCATCATGATAGTATATACACACTGCACAACACGGTACGATGTAACGTCAAAGAATAACAGCACGACAGTCCTCCATTTGTCTAACTGTTGTCACTATACTGCCATACTGTATGGTACAATTTAGCATCATGATAGTATATACCCACTGCACAACACGGTACGATGTAACGTCAAAGAATAACAGCACGATGTGTAATATTTTACAGATGGGTGTAGCATTAAACAAGTAACGTTAGTATAGCATAGTGCATGTGTAACTTATATATAAACATTAGCATAGTACAACATAGAACCGTCACAGCACAAAGCACCAGCTGCCTTTTTCTGTCAGGCTGACATCCCGCTCACTGACTGTAACTTTCACTATCGGTAGAGTAGTTTTATAACTATAAAGTGTGTTCTCATATCGTTTAATTAATGAGTGTTTAAACACGTGCGTGAGGCTGCGCTGCGGCCTCGTAAGTTACCTTCATCTCCCTCTTCCTCCACCTGATCGGCCCAGCTAGGCTTTGAGCTGTGGAAAACACAAGATATTAGATATCTTGAATAAGCATGAATAAAACTTTATGGCTTCATTCATACGAAGAACTTACTCGTCGAATTCGATCGACGGCATCTTTACGGCTGTCTTGAGGCTCGAGAGGAAGCGTTTCGGGGCTGTTTTTGGTGAGAGGACGCGCCGCTACAGCGCCTCTGTGCGAGCGGAGGACTGCAGCGAGGACAACGATATGAAGAGAGGGAAAGTGTGGTGAAATGAGCTAGTACTGACTTCTACACCACAAGGAAGGAACACGATAGAAGTCAACTAAAAAGCCAGAGTACATTCCAGAACGGCTTCAAAAAGCATCTAGAACGTAGGAACATATAAAAATGCCTTCTTAAATATGTACCCACAAGAATGTCAAGTAACCAGCTTCTTCCGTGACATGCAAACCACGATTTTGAGGCTATCTATATTAATACATTGTTTATTTTCGTTTTTTTCGTTACTTTTAAAAGTAATGCATTACAATATTGCGTTACTCCGTAAAAAAAAAAGTAACTAATTACGTTACTTAGTTACTTTTTATGGAAAGTAATGCCTTACATTACTTTTGTGTTGACATTGGTTAATAGAATGGGATTAGATACATTTGTGTTATTTAACATATTTTATTATAGCAGGTTTGCGTCATATTCTGAGTTTTAATTCATTTTGATGAACACTAAGTCTGTTTTTTGTGAGTGGGATGAATTAATGCACATTCACATTTAGTCTAGAACTACAGAATCATGTTCACACAACGCCTCTGTACTCCCGATTTCTCCCAATATGGGGACAGGAGAGATGTCAGTCAATTAATGGGAAAACAAAGTAACTGGAGTTACTGTTTTGAAACAGTAACTCAGATATTCTCTTGTAAATTAAAAAAGTAATGCGTTACTTTACTAGTTACTTGAAAAAAGTAATCTGGTTACGTAACACGCGTTACTTGTAATGCGTTACCCCCAACACTGGTAATAACAACTAAGGTTAATTTTCTGAGCTATTTAATGTATTGAACATAACTTTTCAGTTCAGTTAGTTTATGTAGTCTTTAAGTAAATACAACTAAAAACAGTCTTTTATTAAATGAGTAAATAATTTATTCAGTGGACATTAGTATTACACTAGTAACTAGATAATATCTTGGCTGAGCAGGAGCTTGTCCGTACATACTGTAGATGATTTTCACTAAAGCTGCTTTTAACCACATCTGTTGTGAAATTGTCTATAGGCTACAAACAAACTTTGCTTAATTTGAGTTAATGCACTACACCTTTATGGCACTAATGTTGTTTCATTAGGAAGTTTAGGTCTCGGTTCTCTGGATCATTTGTCTAGATTTCTCTTATGGTTTCTTGTACTTCTGGACAATGTTTAAAAATAGCCATCAGTTGTGAAGTACAACAAAAGTAATATTTTATATCACAAAAGACTAAAATAATATTGGAGATCGATATACCCCAAAGCCACCATTTTGAAAAAGAAGAACTTTGTTAAATAAATAAATAAAAACTGAGCCAGTCTTCTATTAAATATCTTTAATTGGTATTCTTTGCAGCTAGAATAGAAGCATTTTAATGGTCAATTTTTACTGTCAGATATGTTCTTGTTTGCTTTTGAGCACAAAAAGGACACAAAGAAAATAATTTTCATTTGGTTTGTGGTTGGCAGACGTACAAGAGAAGAGTACAGCCATCAACAGAAATGTAACTTAATTTACATCCAGGAAGCCACAGCGTGAGGTTTTGGCCAAGATATTATATGTATGAAGGTTAGTCATCTGAGCTCTTTCCACAGCAAGCTGTCCGTATGCTGTCAAACACAGCCATGTATAGAAGCGGATGCAAGCACATGTTCAGGGTGGCCAGGCCTTTTGACACTTGATATGAATTATACACATCACACTTCATCATCTTAATCGACTTCAGAAACACATGATACGTCTGCAGAACATGATAGGGCACAAATGATGTGGCGTAAAGGATGCAGACCAGAGCAACCATCAGAGCCACCTTCCTCTTCTCTAGTGCGGTTATGTTTTCATTTTTCAGAACAGTCCAAATCACACCCAAATATGATGCAAAGGTAACTAACAAAGGAATCATGCATCCTACAACCATAAGAAATAGGGTGTACTTAAAATGGGGTTTTCTCAGGGTTTCATCGTGACTTGAGACACAAAGAGTGTAGGTTTGTTTAACTTCGGTCCCAGCAAATTTGAGGACTGGCGATGAAGCGATGATCACGATGGACCACGTCAGCACGCTTGCGATCTTTGCATGTTTAGGGCGCACGTAGCTCCGGGTGAAGAAGGGGAAAACTATGGCAAGGTATCTGTTGACACTGATGCACATGATGAAGAAAATGCTGCCATAGAGGTTGCAGCTGAAGAGGAAGCGTTCAATTTTGCATGCAGCATCTCCAAAGCTCCACTGCTTCTCATTGGCATAGTAAATGATGAGCAAAGGCAAGGTCAGGACATAAAGAATGTCACAGATAGCCAGATTACAGGAGAACACTACTCCGGTGTGCCAGTTCTGCCTCTCTTTAGTCACCAGGAGCCACAGGGCAAATATATTCCCTACCAGAGCCACGCACATCTCAATGCCATACATTGGGGGGAGGAGTCCGATTTGAAATGTAGTATTGCAGAGTAAACTGTTGTTCATTGTCCCTGGTGTTCTCTGACCCCTGAAAAATACAAATAAGAGTTGGTAGCATCAATCTTAAATCACATTTTTGGAAAAACCTTGTGAATCCAAGCAGATGATGTGAAAACCTTTGTATCTTTTTATTTTTTTACCGAAACATAAACGGTTTAGCAATCAGAAAAGAAATATACAACTGCATTGCTGCTTATCTCAGGCTTCTCATCTTAGCATCTTGTGTAATACTGCTACAGATGCTGAGAAGCTTTTTATATAAACCTACAGTTGGAATGTGGCAATTTCATAGTTGTTAGTGTCGGTAATACAACTCCTCAACACTCATATAAGTAACAAAGGTTTATTGACATCCATATGGTTCCACGAAGAACCTTTAACATTCATGGAACTTTTCCATTCCATAGAAGGTTCTTTAGGTTATAAAAATGTTCTTCACACTAAGAAAAAAATGCTTTTCTTTTGGAACCTTTGTTTTAGGTTCTACAGTGAACTAGCAAGGAATAGCCTAATATTCTTACAGTATCTATTTTTGCAATTTATAGTTGTATAAGTTACCATTATGAATTAACTAATGTTTATAAATGACATAGTTTGTGATTCAGCTCTTTACCTGTTTTTACTATGCATCCTAAAAACAGTTGTTGACAACATTAAAAAACATTAGCTAGCAAAATAATCAATACAATTAACTGTCAGATGTCACGTAATTCAGGGGTTTTACAGAGCAGACATCTTTCAGTTCTGCCTGCAGGAAATCACACCTACATTGTTTAAGAGCGTTATGACTAAAACAGTACGTATAGCTAGACCAGTGCACTGTAAAATAAGTGGTTTATCTTTTCAGCACTTTTTTTTTTTTTTACATCCAAGGCTGTTCATGATATTGTGGTGAAGAATGTATTTTAAGATACAAGTTAATGGGTTTCAGAATTTGCAGCAATTTTGAAAACAATGTCATGTTTGGAAACTTAAGTGCTAAGCACTCACAAATTTGATAAAAACAACAAAACACTGATATTTTACCAAATAAGATCCCAGCACAAATTCCTTAATGTATTCAAGCCCAAGAAGTCCACATCCAGTAAAGCTAAACATCAATTACAGTACATTTTACTCAAAATATGTTTTATACTGTTAATTCACCTTGACATACCCATTCCCAGCATTTTGTATAAACTAGAACCATAACAAAAACAGCTTTCTTTTTTTAATTGTATAGGATAGTTTATAAACTCTCACTCTTGTACATTTTTAAAAAGTGGCAAACAAGTCGATAAAACTCACCAAGCAAATCTGCTTGACTAAATGCTCCGGCAGTCACCCGTGAAACAATACCAAACTTCCCCTCTCATGCACATTTCAAAAAAACAGACCAATGACTGAAACCACACAGGCAAGCACACGTGACATTTAAAGCCTGTAGATGATTGCAACACAAGCCACTTGATGTTTTGAAAGGATTTATTGGTTAAATGTATCCAAATCTATCAACATTTATACAAGGCACAAGTCTGACATAAAGCAGCATGGATCTGCTGATGTTTTTGCATTGATACATGATGATACATCAGTCATTTAATACATGACGCATCAGTGAAGCAACAGTTCCATCTTGTGGTTAAGCAGTTTAGATGCGTCCAACCTCGCTTTCAGTTCCTTCAGCTTTTCCCTTTCTTGTGTTTAAAGTCCTTTTTTCCTCCGGCACCTTTCTGTCGTTTCATAACAGCACGTCCTTTAAACGTTTTCTGTCCGCCAAACTTCTTACCGGTATCTCCTTTCTTCTGCCCTGCAAATCTATTGCCTTTTCCCCCTTTTTGGCCAAACTTTTTGCCTCCTTCGCTCTTCCTAAACCTGTTTCTCCCCTCTAGAGGTTTTCTATCCCCAAACCGCTTCCTACCATCTTTATTTCCCCTGTCAAATGACTTAAAACTCTTTTTGTCATGAGGAGGGCCCTTCCCCGGTGACAGCTTCCTCTTTTTAAAGGGATTTGTAGACTTTCCAGGACCACGCTTCCTTTTTGCACCAGGAAACATGTCTGTGGGGTTCAAGAAGAAATTAGAACCAGTGCAAACTGCAACGGTAAAATTTCACAAATAATTTTGGTATGACGTGATACCTTCATCTGGTTCCTCCCCCACAGCCTGTCTGTAATACTCTGCTTCGTCCTCAGACTCCTCGGCTGGAGCCTGGCCCTCCGGTTTCCCAGGATCCTCCACTTCATCATCTGATACCTGCCCTTCCTGCTGACGCTTTCTCTTGATGCCCTCCATGCTCTTTTGCCTTTAAGAAATTAAAATATTTTTGGAACAAAATAACTTACATTTGAAAAGATGCTTTGAGTGCATTGCTATGGTGTTCTGATTTATTTTTAATTTGCAAAAAAAAAAACTCAAAATACAAATAAAATGTACAATTTATTTAGCATGGGATGTTTTAAAGCATTTTATGGGAGATTATGTTTTTGAAGTAATGTGCAGCAACCATTTAGCAGAAAAACAGAATACCCATTTCAAAACACCGTAACCAAATGCTGTAATATTTACTTCTGCGGAAACAAAGAATCTCCACTGTTAACATCTAGCTCATCATCACCACCAGAGCAGCAGATCTACTCACTTGTTCTGATCTCGTTTGTCTTTTTTTAAGGCAATGTTCTGTTCTTGTTTTCTCTTCCGTTCTTCTTTCTCTTTCAGACGGGCCTCCTTCCTTTTCAGCATCTCCTGAAGCTCTTCCTCTGTTTTCGAGACTGCAGACGGAGCACATTTTGGACTAGCTTAGTAATACGCTCAATAACAACTAGGTTGGGCGTCTAAACGGTCTTACACAAAACTACACTTACTGAAAGAATGATAAAGCACTTTTCCTTCCCCCATGCCTTCTGATATCTTCACCAGCTGCAGAGTCATTCTGGGGCCAATCTGTAGCAGAACAGACACCCATCATTTTTCAGTAGACACAAACTGTTAAGCATCTAATGTGCTTTTTGTACTTAAGCATGTGCTGTTAGCATAGCAACATACTAATGTCGAATGCCATCGGAATGCATTGAGAATCCAGCCAGTAATATTTAAAGGGATAGAATGAAAATTCTGTCATTATTTACTCACCCTCATGCCATTCCAAAATTGCAAGACCTTTGTTCATCTTCTGAACACAAATTAAGATATTTCTGATGAAATACAAGAGCTTTCTGACCCTGCATAGACAGCAACACAACTGAAACATTCAAGGCCCAGAAAGGTAGTAAGGACATCATTAAAATCGTCCATGTGACATCAGTGGCTCAACCGTAATGTTATGAAGCTATGAGAATACAGCACAAAGGAAACAAAAATAACTATTCAACAATTTCTTCTTTTCTTCCGTTTCAGTCCACGACGTGTTCATGACAGTACTATCACACACATGCGTCGCGTTACTCTCGTGAATGCGTGTTGAAGACCGACACGGAAGAGAAGAAATTGTTGTATAGAGTAATTTTGAGTTTTCTCTGCACACAAAAAGTATTCTCGTATCTTCATAAAATTAAGGTTGAACCACTGATGTCACTATTTTAACGATGTCCTTACTACCTTTCTGGGTCTTGAACGTGGCCCAGTTCTGTGCTGTCTATGGAGGGTCAGAAAACTCTCGGATTTCATCAAAAATATCTTAATTTGTGTTCAAAAGACGAACGAAGGTCTTACAGTCATGGGTTTGATTCCTAGGGAAAGCAAGAAGTGATAAAAATGCTCTGGATGAATGCATCTGCCAAATGTCATTAAAAAGTCACAATGCAAGGAAATACTGACATCTTTTCTTTTGCATTGTGACATACATTCAAGTGAAACAGATTATCATTTAAAAAAATGCTTGGCAGGGACATGGTTCTATGCATCGGTTAGATGATTGGATGGAGGCAGGTGTGAACTTGCTTGAGCTTGCAGTTGATTAAGAAAGGAGCAAAGTTTAAGTAAAGAAGTACGGCATTTTTCATCAGAAAGAGGACTGTCGATTTCATTGGAAGATTGAGTTAAGACATTGATTAAAAATTATAAGGTAAATTTTTTTTTGTTTTTAAATATGAAAAAAAAAAGAAAAAAGGGAGACATTGCATTCAAACAGATAGGGTTATTTTTCATTTCATGCAGCCTTTAACGGGATAGCTCGCACATACATAAAAAGTCTGTTATCATTTACTCACCCTTCCCTTGTTCCAAACCTGTATGGGTTTCTTTTCTCTGTTGAACACACAAAAAGGCATTTTAATGAACGTTGGTAACCAAACAGTTGATGGTAGCCATTCCAACTATGGACATCAATGGCTACAGTCAACCGTTTTGTTACCAACGTTCTTCAAAATATCTTTTGTGTTCAAAAGAATCTCATACAGGTTTAGTACAACTTGAGAGCAGGGGCGGTTCTAGGGGGGTGGGGGGGGCAGTGGCCCCTGTCAACAAGCATGGCCCCCCTAAATTTGGAATCATTTCACAGCAAACGATTTTGGGTGAAATGCACAGTTTGTCCTGTAAACTATATATATATAAAAAAGAAAAACATCACCAGCTGCTAATTTCAAATCTGCGTTCGCACAGAGCAAGAGACACACACGTTTTTAAGACAGCCCTGATGTAAACGTTCTTTGCTCTCTTTTTGTACAATGAAAGTGCTATAGGCTAATTAGTAACTTACAATGTTTTTTTATTAAATACAAAGTCAGTCGCATTAAAAATATTTTATGGTATGACACCCATATCTGGTACTTAAGTAAAAATCCGGATTTGTATGCAAGTTAATATATTACACTATTAGGCTACTTTGACCATCGCCCATTATAGATCAACTAACAAACTATAAAGGTGCAAAATGCATCTACTCTCACATATTTGAGAATGAGATATTTCATGATATATTTTGGGGATATAAAAAAAAAAAAAAAAAAAATTTGAATAAAATCCCTGCTGAAAAAAAGAAGAGACACAATTACACTTTTTTTTTTTTTACTAAATAAACATCCAGGAGCCACCCTATCCGTTTTACATAATACAAATACACTCACCATGTTTATAGTATTCTCAGTTTTGGTAAATATTGAGAAGTGCGTGATTCCTAATGGTCCTGCCACTGCAACAAAATCTTTCAAGACGTTATTCTTCCGCACCTGCAAACCAAGACAACAGTTTCAGTGTGTAAAGGAGACTTGACAGTAGAGTGGAGCAGCAGCAATCGTGAGGTGCACCTTCAGAGCTCTGGCAGTGAAGGGCTCCATGACTCGTCTCATGTCTGCCACGAGCTGAGCGCCGTTCTTGCCGATCTGTCCGCGGTGAAACACGAAGGTGTGCGGCACAGTGGAGTAAGTCTCCTCGGCCACACGACTGGCAGCCACGCGGGCTTTCTTCTGGTTCTTAGTCTATGAGACAAAAACAGAAAGTAGCTTATAGAATTCTTTCGTCGTAACTGTTCAAGCTGAAACGAGATTATACATTATTTTGCCAAGCGTTAGAACATTGACACGTGTACCTATTTACACACACATATACATCACCGAATCTCATTCCAAATAACGAAATTAATAGATTTAGCAAAGATAAAGACAGACGGACTTGTAAGTTACTTCATTGTCCGCGCTTAACTGGATGCAAGTTAAACACGTAACGTTACCTTTGTTTTCCCCATTTTTTTAAAGGACAGCACCACTTATCCAAGCCGAGGGCGCAAAGCTGAACTTTACTTGATTTGATTTTAATACGAATATCTGAGCTAAAATATCTCACAAGTCTAGTTAACCAGCAACCATGTTGAAAGCCCTGCTGCTAACCATGTGGCGTGGTTGCGCATGCGCATGCGCAAGGCACTACACGCCGCGCGCACGCTGGATGTTTGGTTTTGCACGCGCCGTCTTTTGGATGGGATGAATTACTACATGTAGCTGCATTGGTAGGTTTAAAGGGATAGTTCACCCAAAAATGAAAATTCTGTCATCATTTACTCACCCTCATGAGTGAGCCCGTATGAGTTGCTTTCTTATGTTGAACACAAAAGAAGATATTTTGAAGATTGCTGGTAATCAAACAGTTGGTGGTTGCCATTGACTTCCATTGTAGGGAAAGAAATACTATGGAAGTCAATGGCAACCACCAAATGTTAGATTACCAGCAATCTTCAAAATATTTTCTTTTATGTTCAACATAAGAAAGCAACTCATACAGGTTTGGAACGACATGAGGGTGAGTAAATGATGACAGAATTTTCATTTTTGGGTGAACTATCCCTTTAATTCAGCACATGCACAGAATTCTAGGCAGGTTTTAAACTTTCCATTAAGTTTTGAATGTCCCACTAGCCTTTGTCATCATTTACTCACCCTCATGAGTGAGCCCGTATGAGTTGCTTTCTTATGTTGAACACAAAAGAAGATATTTTGAAGATTGCTGGTAATCAAACAGTTGGTGGTTGCCATTGACTTCCATAGTAGGGAAAGAAATACTATGGAAGTCAAAGGCAACTACCAAATGTTAGATTACCAGCAATCTTCAAAATATTTTCTTTTATGTTCAACATAAGAAAGCAACTCATACAGGTTTGGAACGACATGAGGGTGAGTAAATGATGACAGAATTTTCATTTTTGGGTGAACTATCCCTTTAATTCAGCACATGCACAGAATTCTAGGCAGGTTTTAAACTTTCCATTAAGTTTTGAATGTCCCACTAGCCTTAATTCCAATTGAAAGGTAATAGCCACTGCTGAACTCTGCTTACTCTCATTCATTCTCATTTAATTACTCTATGATCTGATTCAGAATTCGATGTGAGTTAGAACCTTTGTAAAGTATTGTCGGTTTTCTTTTTCTTCCTTTTTAAGGTTTTTCTTTATTCCTTGTTTAGTTATCACACTTTATCTGGTAAACATCATCTTATTTTAGCTTCAATAATTAGATGTATGGGTAGTAAAGGATGTACACAACATTAGCTCATAATTGCAGAAGTCAATAGAAAGTCCCCACCATGACAGAACTAGCATTAGTCATCTTACTTTCAAAGCAATAGAATGTAAGTAATCATTCATGTCCATTTTAGCAATTTCCTGCACATACTGTAATGCTGCACTATTGTGAATGTTTTATTTTTTTTTAAATGAGCTGTATTTTTTTCTGTCATAAGGGTCAATTTTTTAAAATTGAGATTTATACATCATCTGAAAGCTGAATAAATAAGAATATTTGGCCGACATACAACTATTTGAAAATCTGAGGGTGCAAAAAAAATCTAAATATTGAGAAAATCGCCTTTAAATTTGTCCAAATGAAGTTCTTAGCAGGGTATATTACTAATCAAAAATTAAGTTTTTATATATTTACGGTAGCAATTTACTAAATATCTTCATGGAACATGATCTTTACTTAATATCCTAATGATTTTGTGCATAAAAGAAAAATTGATAATTTTGACCCATACAATGTATTGTTGGCTATTGCTACAAATATAACCGTGCTACTGATGACTGCTTTTGTGCTCCAGCGTCACATATTGTACAGTCATGGTCAGTCTGCACGATGACTGGGAGTGAAGGAAAGGGTAGTGGGTGTGCTTGTGTGTGGGGGACAGGCCTGTGTAGGACTAGAAAGGAGGGGGGGCTGGTCTCATTAGGATGGTTTGTAATTACACTCTTCTTTGTTTAGAGATCCTCTGACAGGAGCTGATCTTCCTGCTTTAAAAGTTTACTGTCAGTCTGGGTGTCTCCCACTGCCCACTGTCTTTGAACATCTCCACTGAAGACCAGCCGGAGCACCGACCAGACATCCACTGCTGCAGTCATAATGCTCAATTATTAATAGCAAAGGCGTGTTTCCCTTTATGACAGTGATTTTTCATTGATATTATAATCTTTTAGTTATAAATAGCACAGATCAGAAGCTCGGAGCTGAACATCTTGTTTGCATCAGTCGGAGGACAAGGCATTACCTTAAAAAGAGACCAAATCCAAAAAGAGAAGATCATCTGGTGATATAAGGAGGTAAGAGAAATATCTGTTCAAAATGTGATTTGTTTTCTCAGAATCATGGTTATATTACACATGTTTTCTTTTAAACAAATAAAAAATAATAAAAAATAACTACTGTAAATTAAAAAAAAAAAGCATACCAATTGTGTATCCTTCTGTTGAAATATCCCATAAGTATTACTTTGGTATTTTAATGAGCCTCCAAATATTTTTAATATATATGCAATTTTAGTCATAAGTGAAACTTTTCCAAAGTATTTATCAATTGATAGCTCGCAATTACTTTAGACACATTTGCTTAAAATTTCAACAAACTGCTATTACTTTTGTTTTGTTACCTTTGGTATTAATAGGTCTCCTCTCTAATAGGCATCACTGTTCTTTTTAGTAGGCTTGGTTTAGCTGTTTTCAGTAGTTGCCTCAGTCAATGTTTAGATTTGTTAATTGCTTATGACATTTATTATGTGTACCAAAGCTGTAATTTTCATCGGTATTGACTTTAGCTATTGATTTTGACAATCAGATGAAATGATAGGTTGACTCAGGCTCTGTTTCTGTTGACATGCTAATTAACCCAAGAAAAGGCGAAACTGTGTTTTACCTCCCATCATTAAACATGAACATCTGGCATGCATCAAAACTGCAGGCCTCTTCAGTTCATGACTGACTGAGTGGGTGGTTATAATGTCAAAATTTAGGCAGGTTTCAGCTCACTGGAAAATTAAAAGTCATAAGTAGCACGAGTATATTTGTAGCAATATCTAACAATACATTGTATGGGTCAAAATGATCGGTTTTTTCTTTTATGCCAAAAAATAATTAGGGTATTAAGTAAAGATCATGTTTCATGAAGATATTTAGTAAATTTTTTTTGCACCCTCAGATTCCAGATTTTCAAATAGTTGTGTATCTCGACCAATTATTGTCCTATCCTAACAAACCATACATCAATGGAAAGCTTATTTCTGAATCTCAATTTCAAAAATTGACGCTTGTGACTGGATTTGTGGTCCAGGGTCACAACTGTTGTTTTTAAAGTCAGATCAAGTCTGAACAGCACAATCTCATGGCAGTTTGAAACTAGCTCTTTTTTAGGTGAATTGGTGGCTGATTCATATGAATTTGTACTGTCTTAAAATGCTAAGATTTTGTATTGTTTGTTTGTTAGGATCATATTGAACAGTTTATTGGTTCAGTCGCAACTCTTATGGAAATTCCAGTGACTTGTGCCGTGGTCTTCCTGCTGGTTTTTGGTGGGGCCTGCTGTGTGGACGGCCACCAGGAAGCCTCTAACGCAGACACCTCCAAGGGTGATGCGCGTCAAAATTTAGGCAGGTTTCAGCTCACTGGAAAATTAAAAGTCATAAGTAGCACGGGTATATTTGTAGCAATATCTAACAATACATTGTATGGGTCAAAATGATCGGTTTTTTCTTTTATGCCAAAAAATAATTAGGGTATTAAGTAAAGATCATGTTTCATGAAGATATTTAGTAAATTTTTTTTGCACCCTCAGATTCCAGATTTTCAAATAGTTGTGTATCTCGACCAATTATTGTCCTATCCTAACAAACCATACATCAATGGAAAGCTTATTTCTGAATCTCAATTTCAAAAATTGACGCTTGTGACTGGATTTGTGGTCCAGGGTCACAACTGTTGTTTTTAAAGTCAGATCAAGTCTGAACAGCACAATCTCATGGCAGTTTGAAACTAGCTCTTTTTTAGGTGAATTGGTGGCTGATTCATATGAATTTGTACTGTCTTAAAATGCTAAGATTTTGTATTGTTTGTTTGTTAGGATCATATTGAACAGTTTATTGGTTCAGTCGCAACTCTTATGGAAATTCCAGTGACTTGTGCCGTGGTCTTCCTGCTGATTTTTGGTGGGGCCTGCTGTGTGGACGGCCACCAGGAAGCCTCTAACGCAGACACCTCCAAGGGTGATGCAGGTCAGAAAAGGCCGCCTCGAGCAACAGAGAATAAGCCGAGCCGCTGTTCCTACACTTTCATCGTACCTCAACAGAAGTTAACGGGGGCGCTTTGCGTGAGCACCGAGACGGCTCGTGTCAACCGCTCTGAGATGGCGTCCCTGCGCGCGCTGCTGGACCGGCAGCAGGAACAGCTGGACACAATGCGTGGGCAGCTGGAGCAGGAGGGCGCACAGGCCAATGAGATGAGAGTTCTGCGCAGGGAGAGCGTCAACATGAACGCCCGCATCACCCAACTCTATGCCCAACTGCTGAATGAGATCATCCAGAAGAAGGATCAGGCTTTGGAGCAACGGAGGCTCGAGAGTTTGGTGCTTAATGCAACAGCCCAGGTAGCTAAAAGCATTCCCTACTGTAAAGAAACATCATCATTACCTCAGTTGTTTCTCCTAGATGCAAGTGAGATCAAATGGAGAACAAGCTGAGTCTCCTGCTTCTCAGATTTTTCACTGGGAATGTCTCAAGCTGCACAGATTTGCCACAATACCAAAATTTGCAATGAAAAGCCATAGATTTGAATACAAACTAAAAAAAAAGGAAAGGAAAAAGTAAAAGTGCATTTTAATAAGTGTACTTCTTATTGAAACAATATACTTATAACATTTTTTACTTAAGTGACATAAGTGAAGCAATTTGTCGAACTTAAGCATATCTTTTGACAAGCATTTATGGTGAACTAAAATATGTCAATGCCATTTCTATTTAAATGTATATGTCATGTATTTCAGTATATTTGTAAACACACATTTGTAATAATGAAGTTGTAATTTAGTACATTTAAAATAGGTTAATTTGACATTTTAAAGTAATATTTAAATGTAATAATGCATAACACGCTTCTTTAAAGCATGACACAATATTATTAAAACCATAAATGAATACTGTAAAGTAAAAGTTTTATTGTGACATTATATACAAAGCACACTTTAAATGTGTTAAAAACAGTAATGAAAGTTTACAGTCTCTTTAAATACACTTAAGTGGCGTTTTATTTCATTAATATTATATTATCTGCAATACACGTTATAATAAAAAATATATTGCATTACACTAAAAATATACAATTATATTCTCTGCATACATTTTTTTGCAAATAAATTTTAAGATTCGAAGTACACTACAATTGCACAGTCAAGCACACTTGTTTTTCACCAGGGATGTATTGATGCATTCATTTTATGGAAAGTTATTTTAGACTTTTCAAATATTTGGATCATTTTTTTTTTCATCTGTGCGATGGCAAATCCTGACAGGTGCTTCAGGTGTCCAGCAGTTACAGAGACCTGGAAAAGAAGTATGATGCACTCACTTCTCTAGTAAGCAACCAGAGCCAACTAATCACACATCTGGAGAAATTGTTGTTTTTAAAGTCAGATCAAGTCTGAACAGCACAATCTCATGGCAGTTTGAAACTAGCTCTTTTTTAGGTGAATTGGTGGCTGATTCATATGAATTTGTACTGTCTTAAAATGCTAAGATTTTGTATTGTTTGTTTGTTAGGATCATATTGAACAGTTTATTGGCTCAGTCGCAACTCTTATGGAAATTCCAGTGACTTGTGCCGTGGTCTTCCTGCTGATTTTTGGTGGGGCCTGCTGTGTGGACGGCCACCAGGAAGCCTCTAACGCAGACACCTCCAAGGGTGATGCAGGTCAGAAAAGGCCGCCTCGAGCAACAGAGAATAAGCCGAGCCGCTGTTCCTACACTTTCATCGTACCTCAACAGAAGTTAACGGGGGCGCTTTGCGTGAGCACCGAGACGGCTCGTGTCAACCGCTCTGAGATGGCGTCCCTGCGCGCGCTGCTGGACCGGCAGCAGGAACAGCTGGACATAATGCGTGGGCAGCTGGAGCAGGAGGGCGCACAGGCCAATGAGATGAGAGTTCTGCGCAGGGAGAGCGTCAACATGAACGCCCGCATCACCTGGAAAAGAAGTATGATGCACTCACTTCTCTAGTAAGCAACCAGAGCCAACTAATCACACATCTGGAGAAACAGTGCCAGCTCAAGAACCCCACTAAAGCACCGCAGGTAATAACATCTGTTATGTATTCTGTGCCTTTGTGCTTTTGCTTTGTAATGTGGACTTTTATGTTGTAGTTTTACTTGTTTCCTGTTCCTGTTTCCGCTTGTCATTAGTCTGCTTGTTTCCAACAGTGTTTAGTTATGCCTTGTCCAAATACCCGCACTTGCGGTCTTTGCACTTGACCACTTATATGACGTATTTCCTGTATTTGGTCCAAGTGTTCAAGTGAGCATGAAGACCACAAGTGTGTGTAGAAATTTTCATTACCTGATAGGACACACTATAACGGTGTTGTAAAAATGCAAGTGTTTACAGAGCTTTATTTTTATTTTCAATACTTTGCATTTTAAAATCAACTTCTAAATGTCTGTTCGGTATCTCTATAACAGACGACAATTTAATTTTGTGGTGCTTCTAATTAAGTGATAAAAAGCAGTTGCAAATGTTGCACAAAATAAATATCACCACTACTCATTTGCACCAAAAAAAACGGGCAACCCTTTGTTTTAGTAGCAAATTATATGTAATATCTAATTGTCATTAATATTTAACATTCATTGGAAAGGTTTCCGTGACCTCTCGCGAGATCTCTGCAAAAAGTCTCACGATTTATTTCCAGAACATGATGCATGATGGGATACACTAAGCCTCGAATAGCACTCTGGAGCGGTATCCGAGATAGTGTGGATTTAGTGTGCGTTAAGGGCACTGTGCTCTGGCGTTTTTAAGACTTGGGACAGTCTTGCGCACTTACGTCCTGTCGCGTGCACGCGCTCTCAAGTGGTCAAAACCAAAAGTGTGGATATTTGGACAAGGCATGTGTCTTGTTAACCCCTGTCTATAGCCCTTGTGTTTCCTGTGTTCATTGGCCCTGTACCAACCAAAGTGGCACCTTGTGGTCTTCTTCTGAGGCCGCATGTTTGTTACAAAATGCCACTTTGACTGTAGGGTAGAAGTCTGCTGTGGAGCTCGTCTCAGTGCAGGTTTAGAAGACGTGGGCATAGAGAGTGCACAACAGCCACAAGCGGCAGCACACACGGCGGCCACTAGAGCGTAAATGCGTGCCATTTGGGATTGGGCCATAGTCTGTTGTTTTTTTTTTAATGGAGCTCAGCCAATGGCTTGCGTCTTGTTTCTTGCTTTTGTGGTTTTCTTGTGCATTGTTATTATTTTAATAAACACTGTCTGCATTTGGATCCAACTGTCCCTCAACTCTAAGTTCTCCCTCTGCGACACAGTCTGAGCTTTCAGGTGTCACTTTGGATATTCCACAAACAAACAGGTGCATCCCCCCAAAACCAAGTGACATTTCTTATGAATTTCTTTACAGGAAACCACATCACTTCCGGTTCAACAGTCTAGTGGGTTGGTGAATGTGAACACAGAGCCTAAAGAAGTTGGCAGCAATGTCCAAAGAGACCAAAGTGCCCCTTTGCACCAGGAACAGAGTCCTCCAGAACTGCTGGAGACCTTTGATGGCTTGCCCAGTCTGCCAACAGACACACCTTTCACCAGTTACCCCGTGACTAAATCTCCAGGTAGCATAAAAACCCCAAAAGGCTAGGGTGTGGCTGCCACTGCTGTTTTGAGTGGTTTATAGATGTTGCTATTGAGTTTTCTAGGCTTTTCAGTGTACTGAATGACCTAATAATTACTTAAATGATCCAATGTTGTCCCTCCTTTGATGTGGACACATCTTTTTTGCCTGTTTTATCATCCTCCATGTGAAAATCTTAGGAAATGGTCACCCCGCTTCAACAAGCCACCACATTTGAAGTGTAATTAATGTCTGCAGCACAAATGGTATTTAATATAGCACTTATATTTAGAATTAGGGGTTTGTTTAAATCCTTACCCTAAAGTAAAAGCAAAAGTAATAATGATCCTTGTCTTAGCAAAAGCGTAAGAATCCCAGATATCCATGTTTCCCACGTAGGCGTTCGGAAGCCCTGTGAGTCAGTGACCTGTAGTCAGGAAGCTTTATCTTTGAGAATTCCAAACAGTGTGTTATCAGAGATGGTGACCCTCATTACTCTTCACAGGACTGTGAGAGCTGCGCTCAGGCTGAAAGCTGTGTATTAGCATGAGCACACACACGCACATAGCATAGGCAAGTTAATCACCACCTTTATAAAAGCTTTGTGACACAACCCTTGAATTGCAATGCAATGCTTTTTACCTCCACCAACTCGGGTGTGAGATTACAGGACACACGTCCACTCCATTTAACAGACCTAAATTACAGCCACTGTTACGGCAGCCACTAAACTGCTTTAAAGCACACTCATGCTGACATTTACGATTGAAGAAGGGTTTCGAGTTAGATACTTGTCTCCATCCAAGATTGTTTCTTCATCAGAACAGCTCTAGAGAACTTCAGCATTACATCACATGTTCACCAGTGGATCATCTGCAGTGAATGGGTGCCGTCAGAATGAGAGTCCAAACAGATGATGAAAACATCACAATAATCCACTAGTAATCCACACAGCTCAAGTCCACCAGTTAATGTCTTGAGAAGTTTATAATGAATCCATTAAGACATTTTTAACTTCAAACTATGGCTTCATGGCTAAAATGCGAGTCCTCTATCCATTAAATATTTCTTTCTCCAGTGAACAAACACACACATCTATTGTATATCCTAGGTGGCTTGACTCTTGAGGGTGAGTACATTTTCAGTAGTTTTTTAAATTTTTGGGTGAACTGTTCATTTAAAAGAAAAGCATTTACAGAGTGAATTTAAATGAATTGTAAAATAATTTTATAACATTAAAAAAGTTTAGAAATATCCAAATAAAATAAAATAACATGTATTTTTTTTAATTGTTTGCAGATACCAACATGTGAATACAGTGGTTCATATGTTGATATTTGCATGTTTTTTGTTTGTTTGTTTACTTCTTTAATAAATCAGATAATGTTCTTTTTCCAATCTAACAATGCAAACCATTTTTTTTAGTTTTAATCTGTATCTAGGTACAGATGTATGGAAGGTTCCAGTGAGTGCAGTAGGTCAAATTCCTCTGGTGGTTTGTAGGAGTGTGAATTCCTCCATGTTGAACTGATAAGTAAAGCCTGAGAGATGGTTGTATACAGTATACAGATCATGACCTTGCTGCTTTCTAAACCAACAGAACCGCAGCCCTTCCTTACCATCCATCCAGCTCCTCCACACTATCTGTTCATTATAGAGTCATTTATTCATTGGCTTTTGTCATTTAATACAAAAGACAATGAAGAGAAAATAAAATGGTATAATTAAAACAATATTCTCAAGAAAACATGTTTTGTTCAAAACATTTTGATTAGAGAATGAAATCAATGCAGAAACACCAGGAATATATTTTATGTTAAATGTTTGTGCCATAATATCCAATCAAACCAAAACCAAAGAACAGTGTAATTAAATGAGTTAAAAAATGAAATTCCTGTTCACTTGAATTGATTGCCACCTTAAAGAAAATTGTATTAGGGACATGAAAATGTACTGGATAGTATACTTTCTCTTTTAAAGGGCCGTGGAATGACTGTCATCATGTGCTGGAGTCAGGAGAGAAGACCAGCGGCATCTACCTGCTGCGACCGCGCAATACTAACACACTTCTGCAGGCCTGGTGTGACCAGAGCAGAGCGCAGGGTGGCTGGACCGTTATCCAGAGGAGACAGGATGGCTCTGTCAACTTCTTCAGGACCTGGGAACAGTACAAGGTGCACGAAACAAAACATTACTTATGTGGTAAAGTTGATATAGTAGGCCTGTAAATAAGTCTATGTAGCATCTGTGCTAAGTGAACTTTGCGTAACATTTCCACCAAAGCAACGAGTTCTAAACAAATTCAACTTATAAAAAACATTGCACATCTCTTAGTAAAGTACTTTGTACTTTGTGACAGTACTTTGTGACAGCTAAAAAGTATGTACTTTATAGTATGAATGTAATCTGTTCTACACTGACATGTTGTCATTGTCATGTGACCTACCAGCATCAGTTGTTTCTTTTTTTTCTTTACTATTAATTCCGACATAGGCCTACTACTCATTTCACATACTGTATTTCGCCTAATATATAGTAGAGTAGTGTGTCTATTCGGATACAGCCACAATGTATACAGTACACAGTATACACACACATAAACTATGTAAACAATAACTTTTATTTTCGATGCAATTAATCATGATTAATCGTTTGACAACACTAGTTCCTGAATGAATCAGTGTGTTTGAACAAATCGTTTGAATGAATAATCCAATGACTCACTCATAGGGACAGTCAATTATCTAGTTCCTGAATGAATCAGTGTGTTTGAACAAATCGTTTGAATGAATAATCCAATGACTCACTCATAGGGACAGTCAATTATCTAGTTCCTGAATGAATCGGTGTGTGTTTGAACAAATCGTTTGAGTGAATAATTCAATGACGCACTCATAGGGACAGTCATTTATCTAGTTCCTGAATGAATCAGGGTGCTTGAAAAAATCGTTTGAGTGAATAATTCAATGACTCACTCACAGGGACAGTTAATTATCTAGTTCCTGAATGAATCGGTGTGTGTTTGAACAAATCGTTTGAGTGAATAATTCAATGACGCACTCATAGGGACAGTCATTTATCTAGTTCCTGAATGAATCAGGGTGCTTGAAAAAATCGTTTGAGTGAATAATTCAATGACTCACTCACAGGGACAGTTAATTATCTAGTTCCTGAATGAATCAGTGTGTCTGAACCAGTGTTAATTTCGTTGACGAATAATTTTCATCATAACTTTCATCAACAAAATTTTTTTCACAGACGGCAATGAGACGATAACGAACTAAAACTCTTTTTGAATGACAAAAACTATGACGTAAATCTATTGAGATTTTTGTCAACAAATAAAAACGAGACAAAAATGTTAGGGAGGGACGATTTGGGAAGATATTCATTGAGAAGGAAGGAAGGAAGAGAATTAGAAGGAATCTGCTGCGTGGTTCGGAGGTTAGATACGTACATATGGATTTTTGTCAACAAATAAAAACGAGACAAAAATGTTAGGGAGGGACGATTTGGGAAGATATTCATTGAGAAGGAAGGAAGGAAGAGAATTAGAAGGAATCTGCTGCGTGGTTCGGAGGTTAGATACGTACATATGAACCGGCGGGACATAAGCTAACATACACTTGCTGCACATCACATAAAAAGTTCAAAAATGTCAATATGTGGGAGTAAGAAAAGAGCAGACATATGGATAAATCTGATGACGCAAGACAGAACTCAGTTCGGTCTGATTTTCTGAGCGCAGACACTGAAGCATACACACACAGAAAGCGCGTCTCACAGCACACAAGTATTCTCTCGCGTCGCATGAACGGAGAATTAAACACAAAATGATGTTGAATGGTCCGTTTTGACAAGTATTCACGTAAACAGTTGATTACATCTTAAGTGAACGTAAACAGTAGGGAGAACGTACAGTATATCAGTACGTTGCATCCATTGCAGCTGTGCATTCGGTTTTAAAGGGACAGCAGCCTAATTTAGTTGCTATTGTCCGAGACATTGATGTTAATCAAGCAACAACAGAAAGACAGAAAATCACTCACTGCTCTGATAAACTTTAGTAGGCCTAAAGATTGATCTAAATTTATTTATAGAAATAAATATGTCTGCTTGAAAGAATGAAGAATATGCTAAACAAGTTGCTATAAATAATGCATAATTAGCCTATATAACCATTGGTATTTCATTTAAAAGAAGACCATGTTCTTGTTCTTTATGAGAAGTGGTTTTATTTAATTTTAACATAAAGGCATGTCGTGTGTCACCGCAGTTAAATCGGTGTCTATCATGATAACATCTTAATATCAAACCTATATAATGAGTTTGGAAATTTTAGAGAAATGCTTAATAAATGCACTGTAACTAAACCCATTAGATTTTAGCTGACTAAATTTACTATAGATTTAGTCGACTAAAATCTTATGAAATTTAGTTGACTAAAACTAAAAACAATTCAGATGACTAAAATATGACTAAAACTAAATGCCATTTTAGTCAAAAGACTATGACTAAAACTAAATCAAAATGAACACTGGTTTGAACAAATCGTTTGAATGGATAACTCAATGACTCACTCATAAGGACAGTCAATTATCTAGTTCCTGTATGAATCAGTTTGTTTGAACAAATCGTTTGAGTGAATAATTCAATGACTCACTCACAGGGACAGTTAATTATCTAGTTCCTGAATGAATCAGTGTGTCTGAACCAGTGTTAATTTCGTTGACGAATAATTTTCATCATAACTTTCATCAACAAAATTTTTTTCACAGACGGCAATGAGACGATAACGAACTAAAACTCTTTTTGAATGACAAAAACTATGACGTAAATCTATTGAGATTTTTGTCAACAAATAAAAACGAGACAAAAATGTTAGGGAGGGACGATTTGGGAAGATATTCATTGAGAAGGAAGGAAGGAAGAGAATTAGAAGGAATCTGCTGCGTGGTTCGGAGGTTAGATACGTACATATGAACCGGCGGGACATAAGCTAACATACACTTGCTGCACATCACATAAAAAGTTCAAAAATGTCAATATGTGGGAGTAAGAAAAGAGCAGACATATGGATAAATCTGATGACGCAAGACAGAACTCAGTTCGGTCTGATTTTCTGAGCGCAGACACTGAAGCATACACACACAGAAAGCGCGTCTCACAGCACACAAGTATTCTCTCGCGTCGCATGAACGGAGAATTAAACACAAAATGATGTTGAATGGTCCGTTTTGACAAGTATTCACGTAAACAGTTGATTACATCTTAAGTGAACGTAAACAGTAGGGAGAACGTACAGTATATCAGTACGTTGCATCCATTGCAGCTGTGCATTCGGTTTTAAAGGGACAGCAGCCTAATTTAGTTGCTATTGTCCGAGACATTGATGTTAATCAAGCAACAACAGAAAGACAGAAAATCACTCACTGCTCTGATAAACTTTAGTAGGCCTAAAGATTGATCTAAATTTATTTATAGAAATAAATATGTCTGCTTGAAAGAATGAAGAATATGCTAAACAAGTTGCTATAAATAATGCATAATTAGCCTATATAACCATTGGTATGTCATTTAAAAGAAGACCATGTTCTTGTTCTTTATGAGAAGTGGTTTTATTTAATTTTAACATAAAGGCATGTCGTGTGTCACCGCAGTTAAATCGGTGTCTATCATGATAACATCTTAATATCAAACCTATATAATGAGTTTGGAAATTTTAGAGAAATGCTTAATAAATGCACTGTAACTAAACCCATTAGATTTTAGCTGACTAAATTTACTATAGATTTAGTCGACTAAAATCTTATGAAATTTAGTTGACTAAAACTAAAAACAATTCAGATGACTAAAACTAAATGCCATTTTAGTCAAAAGACTATGACTAAAACTAAATCAAAATGAACACTGGTTTGAACAAATCGTTTGAATGGATAACTCAATGACTCACTCATAAGGACAGTCAATTATCTAGTTCCTGTATGAATCAGTTTGTTTGAACAAATCGTTTGAGTGAATAATGCAATGAATCACTTATAAAGACAGTCGTTTGTTTGGTTTCTGAAAGAATCATTGTGTTTGATCGAATCGTTTGAATGGATGAATCAATGACTCACTCATAAAGACGGTCACTTGTCACCGTCTACTTGTGTATTGTGTACAAACTGTCATTGGAAAATACCAACCACTAAAGGCGAGAATACACTACATGACTTGTGCCAAGATTTCTCCTCTGTTACCATTTACAAAGTTGGCAAGTATATGATACCCAATGTTTTAAAATCGGTTCAGGTAATCTGTTTAGTCATGCAGTGTATTCCATCTTTGAACTAACACCTATAACCATGGGTAGCAATGTTGTCTGTCCAGGTTTAGTCCATGGCCCTTCACAAATGACACAGGCATGCAAAAAAAAGCTGCAAAATAGGGTCCATGGGGGGCACTCATGAGCACCCTTATAAATAATAAAAAGCAGATTTTAATGCAAAAAAAAAAAAGGAATTTCTTTAATTAATGACATAACTATTGCCTATATACAGCAAGGCTTTGGCAATCTGGATGGAGAATACTGGTTGGGTTTGGAGCACCTGCACTGGCTCACCTCTCAGGCCACCTACAAGCTGCGAGTAGCCATGGAAGACTGGCAAGGACGACAGGCGTTTGCAGAGTACGACAGCTTTCAGGTGGAACCAGAGAGTGACTGGTATCGTCTACGATTGGGCAGTTATCAAGGCAACGCAGGAGACTCACTTTCATGGCACAACAATAAAGCGTTCACCACTCTGGACCGCGATAAGGATGCTTATTCAGGTGTTCAATCAATTTGTTTGTATTCACATAATTTCTGTCATTAGAAAGTTTTTTTTAAAGCCATCTGTTGTTTGTCCTCCATAGGTAACTGTGCTCATTACCAGAAGGGCGGCTGGTGGTACCACATGTGTGCCCACTCCAACTTGAATGGGGTGTGGTATAGAGGAGGCCATTACAGAAGTCGATACCAAGATGGTGTTTACTGGGCAGAGCTCCACGGAGGCTCGTACTCCCTAAAGAAAGTGGCCATGATGATCAAACCTGCTTAACAGCCACAGAAACAAATCAGCAGCACCCAGAGAGTTGAGAGTACTTAGTTGAGTGCCATTTTTTGCCACCTTTTCTACACAAAGATGTGACAATTAATGAGCACTAAATGTTTTTGTGGACCTTCAGGTTATTTTGTTAGAGATCTAGTCTTGAAGTTATATTAACATTGTTCGAACAAAGACATGATTTGAATATTTTTATTCAGATGCATTATTGTATTTTGGAATATTTACGTTTGATTGTATTTAGTTTTTCATGTGTGAAATAAAAAAAATTATGAAGATTTTGTACTCGTTTTGCATCATTTATTATTGCCTCACGCATGTGGTTTTCCTCTTTCTTACTGTGAGTTTAGACAGGATTTCCTGTTCTTAGACACTTCATATCGTGCTTATCACAATTAAGAGAAAAGAAATCCTTTTCACAAACAACACCAAAGGAGACTCTGCATCTAACATCCATCTCAGGCATTACCGTCGTCATTGCTTATCACCTGCTTGACAATGCTTCGGCTTCAGCCATTGATCGGTCTCTTGCTGATCAGCCTTGCTCATGGCGGTAAGTTCTCACCATTCTGTCTTTTCAGAGTGTCTTTCTGTGGATCCTTTCAACTTTTTCATTATTTTGACAGATAGAAGCCCAGCAAATCATCTAGGGAGGGAGTTCATCATTATTTTTGCAGTTCTGTTTATTTCTGTTGTTTTTAGATTTCTTTCTTTCTTTCTTTAGCCCTGTTTCTTTTGATGGTGTCGAAGGTGATGTGGTTAGACCTCCATGTTCACTTACAAATAATAAGTGTGTTAAAGCTATCAGAGTTTGCAAAGTGTTCTTTCTGATTTGATTTGACAAGTGATCTTCATTTCTAAAGCCAGAGACCATGAACTTTTTATTTGTCAAAAGTTGTGACTTTTGTAAAGTTGTTAGAGGGTGTGGTAAGTGTTAGTCTCTGAACAGAAACTAGAGCACATGGAGGCAGTCCATCAAGTAGCTTTCACACTTCCAACGCCCAAACGTTAAAGACATGTTGACCTTTGTTTCTCTTCTGAACACAGGGTGAGAACATATTTCATGTATGATAACTTTTAAAGAAACTGAGTAATGATTGAGTCAATAAGTAGGCATTTTTTGATATGGATGTGGTTACTATGGTGTTTTGAATGGTTTTAGGGCATCTCTGAAGGTATTCTGTGAGGGAATGTTGGTGGTTGTTTTCTAGCTGGTTTGGCAAAATAATAGCAACAAATCACATGACTTGTCATTAATGTCTGCTATGGTTCAGGATTAGTTATGTACCGAAGTGTAATAGTTAGAGATAAGGGTTTTTCCCTAACCATAAGTATGAGCAATGATAAAACCAATGGTTGCCAAGCACCACTTATTACACCAAAAACACTCTATTAAACATTACTATTATCCCCATAAAAACATTACTATTATCCCCATATCTGTTGTGAAAAGCAATGGATTCTGCCTTAATAATCCTTGACTGCCTGCTGTGCATTATGTTCAATGCTGAGACATGGATCATAAAACTCTTAAACACAGTTCCTGAAATGTGAACAGATATGTACAGGACCAGTTAAACACACTGTAAAAATGTTATGTGCTGTCTACTAAAAAATGTGGTAACAATATTACACATAATATTTTTGAGTAGTTTTTAAGGGTTTATTTCTATCTGAATAAGTCATGTAAAATCTCCTAAATTATTTAATCTGTGAAACAATGAATTTAGTTTTATTATTGAAATGTGCTCAGTTATTTCTTGTCTTAGAAAGACAGGTTTAAAAAGACATAAGGGTGAGTAAATGATGACAGACTTTGCCTTTTTGGATAAACTATCCCACAGAAACTAACCTACAGAAAGTAATAGCACTTTCGATTGGAAAAAACAAATGAAAATTTGCTGAAAATGTACTCCCCCTCAGGCCATCCAAGATGTGGATATGTGTGTTTCTTCATCAGAACAGATTTGGAGAAATTTAGCATTACATCACTTGCAGTGGATCCTCTGCAGTGAATGGGTGCCGTCAGAATGAGAGCCCAAACAGCTGATTAAAACATCACAATAATACACTAATAATTCACATGACTCCAGTCCATCAATTAATGTCTTGTGAAACAAAAAGCTGTGTGTTTGTAATCGACAAATCCATCATTAAGGCATTTTAAGTTTAAACGCTAAATTCTGGCCAAAATACAAGTCCATACTCCATAATAATGCTTCCTCCAGCGAAAAAGTGCACCGACATATTTGTTTATAACTGTTTTGGACTGTTTGGCATGTTGTCAGTGCTTGATCTGTGCATATTTCTCTCCTAATTCAGACAGGACAACGTTATTAATAGAAAATAAATATTACTCACTCAGAAACAAAAGTTAAAAATGAAAGTGAAAATGACGTGACATGTGGCCAAGTATGGTGACTCATACTCTGAATTAGTGCTCTGCATTTAACCCATCCAAAGTGCACACACAGAGCAGTTAACACACACACACTGTGAACACACAACCGGAGCAGTGGGCAGCCATTTTTGCTGCGGCGCCTGGGGAGCAGTTGGGGGTTCGGTGCCTTGCTCAAGGGCACCTCAGTCGTGGTATTGAAGGTGGGAGAGAGCGCTGTACATTCACTCCCCCCACCTACAATCCCTGCCGGTATGAGACTCGAACCCGCAACCTTTGGGTTACGAGTCCGACTCTCTAACCATTAGGCCTCAGACACTTAATGATAAAACATCTTAATGATGCATTTGCTTATTACAAATACTCAGCTTTTTGCTTTGGAGTCATGTGGATTACGTGTGTATTATTATGATGTTTTTATCAGCTGTTTGGACTGTCATTCTGACGGCACCCATTCACTGCAGAGGATCCAATGCTGAGCAAGCGATGTAATGCTACATTTCTCCAAATCGGTTCTGATGAAGAAATAAACTCATTTACATCTTGGATGGTCTGAGGGTGAGTACATGTTCAGCACGTTTTCATTTCTGGATGTACTATTCCTTTAAGGAATAGTGCTATTACTTTCTGTGGGTAAATACAAGGCACACAATTCAAAAAATATAAATGCTAAATTCTCGATGATTTTCAGAATTTGTCACATCAAGCACCAAGATTTGAGTCTGTAGCAAAGCCAGTTGGTCAAAGTCAAGCAGAAGTTCAGTTTACTTGACATGTTTATATCATGACTAATTTTTATGAACTCTAATAATACTATGCACATATATTATTTTTATCATAATGCATTGTCTTTATTTGTTTGTTCCCTTTGCAGACTACTGCCCCATTTTGTTCAGTCCTCTTGATGTGGTGGCTGAATATGGAGCTTCATTTTCAGTGAACTGCTCCGTCAACAGCATCACACATCAATTTGGTTTGAACTGGGAGGGATTTAATAACACAATGGAGGACAGTGAAGAGATCTCCAGAATTGTGGATAAAGTGACAGACTGGGAGATGAATGTAACGTGTTACATGCACTCTAATGAAACACAGTGTTCACAGGATCTTCCAATTACTATTTACAGTGAGTTTTTTTTCCCTAAAACAAATAATTTTCTTGAATTCACTCACAGCTGTGAATTTCTATTTACAGAGACTCCAGACAGTGTGTTCATCAGTGTGAATCACAGCGGACCAATGATGGAGGGAGAGCCGTATGAGCTCCAGTGTGACATTCACAATGTGGCTCCTGTTCAGGATCTCACTGTCCACTGGTACAAAGGACAGACTCTGCTGGATCAAACTACCTTCCCTGAAGCTAGCAAGACTCCAGTGAATGAAACAGCCACACTCCTGATCCGTCCAGACAGAGCTGATGATGGAGTTCAATACAGGTGTGAAGCAAAGCTGGATCTGGGAGCAGAAGGACCTCCTAATTCTACAGAATCAGCTCTCAATGCTGAAGTTTACTGTAAGTTTATTATTTCCAAGATTGCCATTTAATTCAGTTCATTTTTTCCGAGGGCACAAGTCTAGTGTGAAGGAACTGTCATAGTGCATCACATGCAGAAATATGCATCTTAACAGATAATTTGATCAAATATTACATACTATGAATTGTATTAATATAAATAAAAAGGTTTCAGTACAATGTGTTTAGTGATCTGTTACTAACGGCTGCTCATCATGATGCTGTTGTGCTGAGAAATGTATCTCTGTCCTCCTCAGATAAACCACAACACTCCAGTTCAACAGAGACCATCATTAAAGACGATAAGGTCATGCTAGATTGTACAGTGAAGGCAAACCCGGCCCCTACGTACACATGGGATCATCTGAAAGAGAAGAACAGCTCCTCAGAGCTCAAGTCCTCAGCACTCAGTCCAGGAAACTACACATGCACCGCCACAAACACTCTGGGAAGAGACAGCAAAGTGTTCATCGTCAAATCTACAGGTCAGTTTTGATCAAATAAACATTAATCTGACACTTTGCCCTCAAGCAGTGTTAAGTTATAGTTTTTAATTTGTACATTTTTACTGTTCAAAAGAGTGCTGCAGGGATAGCATATTTTTGTAGGGATAGATAGATTTATTCCCTCAAACTACTACAAATATCATTGAAGCAAAATACAGTATATTCATTTAATAAAAATGTTATGCTTATTGGGTTCTGTCTGTTTTTACCACCAGTAATCACAAGTGGGACCCCTAAGAGAGGAATACCACAATGTTAAAAAATGTGTTGTTATTTTTTCATTCCACTGCCCTGCGTCTCATGATTTTAAACTCAAAAACACGTTCTGTGTGAAAAGCCACTAAGGCATCACTAGTTTTATTGCTCATACTTGTGAAAAGCGATTTAATTTATGCTTTGCATTGCCAAATATATGAAGGACTGTTGCACAGTACTGTATGGAGAGATGAATGCCCAAACAGATTTGTAAATGATGCTGTTATTCTGTGATAGAGCTTCATTGGTTTTTAATCACATTGTGTTCTGTAGACAGTCGATGTCCTGTTCAAATCATCCCATGGAGAGCTGTTGTGAGGTACGGCGACAGTGTTTCTGCTGACTGCAAAACTTCAGTCCTGCATAAAGGGATGGGATGGGAAGCCAGTGAGGGAGCAGTGCCCATGACCAAAAACCAGAATCTGATCACATGGAGAGTGTCAGAACTGACAGAATGGGACATAAAGCCATTCTGCTACATAAACTATAAAATAGGCGATGAGGATCAGTGTCAAGAAGAGCTCCCAGTCACTGTTTACAGTCAGTTTCTCTGTTACTGATATTTTTTTCTGTTCATTCTCAGAAATATCCAATAAATGTACATTCATCATTCATCACAGCAGATTTCAGAGTGTGTAAATCTTCCTCCACAGAGACTCCAGACAGTGTGTTCATCAGTGTGAATCACAGCGGACCAATGAAGGAGAGAGAGCCATATGAGCTCCAGTGTGACGTTCACAACGTGGCTCCTGTTCAGGATCTCACGGTCAAATGGTACAAAAGACAGACTCTGCTGCATCAAACCACCTTCACTGACACTAGCGAGACTCCAGTGAATGAAACTGTCACACTCCTGATCCGTCCAGACAGAGCTGATGATGGAGCTCAATACAGGTGTGAAGCAGAGCTGGATCTGGGAGCAGAAGGACCTCAACCTCATCCAACAATTTCATCAAAACCTCTCAGCATTACTGTATATTGTTAGTGAACAAAATATTGTTTAATGTCTCCACACATGTGAAGAAGCAAGACGTTCTCTCAAAATGCAAGCAAATAAGTATCTTTCTCTGTCCTTCTTTTCCAGTTGCTCCACAAATTCAATTTTGTAGTGACTGGTCACCATTGACAGAGACCTCATTGGATTCATATCCTTCAAATTTACATTCTGTCGAGGGTAAACCTCGTCCAGACATCTCCTGGAGACACAAATCATCATCAGTCAATTCCTCTATGCCTCTTACCAGACATGATTCTGGCCTATATGAAATCATTGCCAGGAATGACCTTAGTACTGTCAGCTGTTTCATGACGATAACAGTCGAGTGTAAGTGTGATACTTCTTTAGGAACTTCCGCATTAAAACCTGATGTTTTGTGTCTCTGGTTGTGTCTTTAAGTTGATTGGTTTCCCCAAAAATAGATCCTCCAGAACTGAACTGCAACAAGAGCTATGAAGTAAAAGAAAAAACACTCTTCAAACTTCCTTGCATAGCCGATGGATTACCAAAGCCTGAATGTTTCCTCTACAAAAATGGAAAAATTATCCAGCATGACTTTTATCTCAATTGGAATGATAGCGGCTGGTATCAATTAACTGCACATAACCAACGTGGAGCTAGTAATTCTACATTCACCATCAACATCCTATGTAAGAGAAAAATGGTCTACAATGTATATTTCTTTAACAACCTTTGCCAATGAATTAACAAAGACAACTTCTACTTTAACACAGATGCCCCAGTGTTTTATGACAGCCAAGAGAAATTTGTTGTGGGAGAAGACAGCAATATAACGCTAGAGTGCTACTCGACTGGTAACCCAGAACCTGAGGTATGGTGGAGCTTCAAAAATAGGAACATCTCCACTGGGAGGCGACACATAAACATTGAGAGAGCCACGTCTACCAGTGCTGGAGTTTATACATGCAGTGCCACGAATAAATTTGGACGCAGTGACAAGACCTTTATAGTGGAGATAACGGGTTTGGGCTGTGAGTGTGAAAACAGTATGATATGACTTTGAATGATACATTTTTTAATTGCGTGATACATTACTGACATTTTTTCTCTTTCCCTTTTTAGATGACTTTCCCTACTACATTCTAATTGTTTTAGGAGTATTTGTACTGCTTGTTTTAATCATCCTTTTAGTGGTTTTAATGTGGAGAAGGAGAAAATCAAGAGGACATTATGAAATACAGTCAGAAATGCAGCCGTTAAGCAATGGGGGCCCTAAGTGAGTTTTATCTTGTTTTAATAAGTTGAAATATGCTTACATTGAAAAAAGACAATATACTGAACATCATTGAGGTTACAATAAAGAAATACATTCCAGGGGGGAATGGTGTGAAAAGAAAAATGTTTGTGTTAAATTGCATTTTACTTTTGTTAGATTTTTACATATTTAATGCTTTTTTTTTGTGTGATGATGATGATGTTGATGATGAGGGACAATCTCCAGGCCAGAAATTAGTTTTCTATATTACAGGTTTGACGACACTTTTATGCATTTCCCCCCCTTTAGTCTGTATTGGTAGATGTTCTATAAGTAAAGTGCCTGTTTTTAAATGTTATAGGCTAATAATGATGCAATAAAGGAGAAAAAGTTTTTGAAATAAAATAGGCCTATTTTAAAACAAAACAATGAAAGATTATACCAAGCTACTTATGCCAACATTGTTTTCATCTGTTTTTTCCCCAGTCTTTTTTAAGCCCCATAAAAAAGAAAATAAAAAAATTGGAAACTTATTAGAAATAATTCAACTGGACAGCACTTACCCACAAAAAAAAAGAGTTATTCACAAGTCAAATATGATGTATTTTTTATGTATTTTTGAAAATAGATTCAAACACATTATCTTACTGACCCTTGTGTGATATCTTATGTATAAAACAGCAGAATGCTTTGTTTTTTCCTTATTAACAAAATGCATGTCAATCAGTGAACAAAATGTTTTCAGGACCTATGTTTTTAGAAGCATTGTTAATGATTGTTACCGTGTGGTGTTAATAATTGAATAAAGGTCATGTCCTTCCTCTCTGTTTTTGAAGTTCTCTCTCACTCCTGCAAACAGGCAGATCTGAAAGCTGGAAACTGGCTCCGGTGGCTCCTTTAAGAATTAGGGATCTGGGAGTGACGCGGCAATGAAATCCAGTTGATCCCTCTCTCGCTTCGAGACGAAAAGTATTTGCGCCACCGCAAAGTAGCTAGCGCTGGAGATCCGTCGCGATTTGTTCAGCGTTGCGCGTGAATGTGGGAAAGGAAATTACTCGCTTTCTGTGATCCTGTTTTGAACATATGTTACTCTTGTAAGTTGGGATAACTTTTCAGCCTAATAGAGTGGAGTGCTAGGAGAGCTGAACATGGACTGGGGCACTGAGCTTTGGGTAAGTTCGGAGGATAGACTTTTATGGTTTATGTTTCATCCTTCTGTTCCCAGAAATATATCTGATGCAGTTCTATCCAAGATCTTCTCTGCTGGATACATGTGCGTAAATTAACGTGATTTATGACCAACCTGGAAGAGGATAAATGCATCAAAAGACTATCTGGCACATTGTTAAACATATTTATGATCTAATTTTTCGAAGTTGTCAGTTGTCACCATTTAATTCGATTAATTGCCACGTTTAATGTGAACATCCGCTTAAACTCAAAGTTGAGCAGAATCATAGCAACAACAACAACAGCAGCTGTATCACCGTTAACCGTAGTCATTGTATCCGTCTAAACCCAATACTGAACTTCTGTCTGCCTGTCTGTCTGTCTGTATATCTATCTATCTATCTATCTGCCTGCCTGCCTGTCTGTCTGTCTATCTATCTGCCTATCTGTCTGCCTGTAAGTTCTTAGCAATGCATATTACTAATAAAAAATAAAGTTTTGATAAATTTACGGTAGAAAATTTACAAAAAATATTCATGGAACGTGATCTTTACTTAATATCCTAATGATTTTTGGCATAAAAGAAAAATACAATGTATTGTTACAAATTTATCCCAGCGACTTAAGACTGGATTTGTGCTCCAGGATCACATTTATTAATTGATGTCAAATATTGATGTGTACTGTATAATGTGAAGATTATTATCTGAATGTCATCATATTCATTTTCAACTTTTCATCAAAACACAACACATTTTAATAAAAACTCATAGAAAGTCATAAAAAAAATCTGAAGTTATTTTTTTTGAGCTCTAAAATATTTAAATGGCTATTAAAAAACTTATTCAGTACTGTAAAGTTTGGAACAAAACATTATGGATTTTTTAAATGTCTTTTTTGATGTCAACTGCATTTATTTGAAAAAAGGCAGTGAAAAAGTAGTATTGTGAAATATTAAAAGAACTGTTTTCTATTTTGGTATCTAAAAATGTAATTTATTTCTGTGATGCAAAGCTGAATTTTCAGCATCATTACTCCAGTCTTCAGTGTCACATGATCCTTCAGAAATCATACTAATATGCTGATTTAGTGCTCAAGAAACATTTCTGATGTTCTGATGTACTATCAACTGTTGAAAATAGTTGTGCTGTTTAATATTTTAGTGGAAACTATTTTGTGACACAGTACCATTTAAAAGTTTGGGGTAAGATAAAAATAATAATAAATCAATAGTTTTATTTGCATTCACAGGAAAAAAAAATACATTTCAAAATATATTAAAACAGAAATATGTTTAATATTTAGTAATAATATTTTACAAAATGTTGACTGTATTTTTGATGAAAATAAATGCAGCCTTGGTAAGCATATGGACTCTTAATAATTTCAAACTTTTGACCATAAGTGCATGTAAAATAAAATAAAAAAGCATTCAATGTTACAATTTGACAGTTTATGGGTATTAAGTCTAGCTGTTTCTGTAGAAACTTACTCTTCCATGGGCTGTCTGCTCTTCCTCTTTTTACGTTCTCTGTTCTCAAATTAGTTTGATTGATTTCAGTGAGGAAGCTGGTATGGCCAGGCCATCACTTTACACAATCTGATGCAAGCTTTCTGCTAAATATGTCATGCGGAGCACTGACCAGTGTTTGAGGTTAGTCAAACTTGAAACTTCTTGCCCTGCATGAATCTGGATGCAACATCTTCGTGATTACATGAATTTGTTCAAGAATGCATGCTCATTGTTACTTATGAAAACCTTTTCGGATGTTGAAATGTCATGTGTGATGGTATATTTAATCTAAAGCTATTTTAAACAGCATTTTACTAGTTCTATTTTAGAATTATTATGCATGCAGCATTTGCTGGCTCATAGTAAATAAGAGACTACATGTAATATAAATTTGTATTTTTAAACATTAATTTCTGTAGAATCATTTAGTGAAGATAAAGTAGATTAAAAATGGTGAAAAACGTTTAACTAAGATAATATCTTGGTGTTTTAAAAAAAATAAAGATCAGGAAGATGTTATAAATCAACTACCTGGAACCAAAAAGCTCAAAATTCTGATTCATCTTTAGGCCTCTAACTGACCAAATCTCTGTGGTTTGCCCATTTTCTGGTTCATATTAGCGGTTTTGCATTTGTTTAATGTTTTCTACATTGTGGAATACACCTGGAGTAACTGAGGAACTCACCTAACAGGTATTTTCCACAATGTAGCACTTTTCACGATACAAGTCGTTGCAAAGCAGCTTCACAGAAAATGAAAGTTTCTACATTATATAGGAGTAACTTATCAGTGGTGACTATGTCAAGGTGATGTATATATGGCAGAAATGTACAGTAAAATTCATGCAGTTCGTTAATGACATGTAATCAAACAGACGGTGAACACTATTAACAGCAATTTTTATATGTTGCGATCAGACTACCAAAATGTGGTAGTTTTGTAAGCTGGTCCAGGGTTGGCATCATCTTAAATCCTCTGGGGGGTTGGCATGATCTCTTCTGTTGTGTTTGGTCTTCTCAGATCTTTGTAAGGGTTGGATCCAGACCAAAGCTTCTGTAATTCCTAGTTACCTTGGTCGGGATGCCAATCCCGTCGCAGAAGCAGAGAAGGAAATGGAGAAAAATGAGCTCTTCCAACCAAGCAAAAAATACATGGTTATGAGATACATTATATGAATGCTTGGCTAAAGAGATGTGTCTTTAATTTAGATTAAAGTTATCAGGAAGGCTGTTCCAGAGTTTGGGAGCCAAATGCAAAAAAAGCTCTCCCTACTTTGCTACCCTAGGTAGGCTACTACCAAAAGTCCAGAGTTTAGAGAACATTATAGCACATCATAGAGAACATTGTTAGCATTCGTTTAAAAAGGTTAGTTTTGGATTTTATTTTGCACAATTTGTATCTTCCAGGTTTAAAATCTACAGTGTGGCAGGATGTGGCATAGCTAAGCCCTATACATTGATGGCATGTCATGTGTCATAATTATTCATCAGACTGTGTGTCCTGAGCTGATTCGCCAGTTTTTTGGCTGACAGGTCATGATTTTGAGAGACTCATTATCCAGAGATTCTTGTTTTATTGCTTAGTGGTACATTTCTTATATTTTTCACATACTTTTCCCACATGTTTCTTACGAATATATTGGAAAATACTCCATTTTAGAATAGGGTATGGCATGGTGAAAATCAATACAATGAAAGCGTTATGCCTCCCTATAATAATTTGTGACCCTGGAGCACAAAACCTTAAGTCTTAAGTCACTGGGGTATATTTGTAGCAATATCTAACAATACATTGTATGGGTCAAAATTATCGACTTTTCTTTTATGCCAAAAATCATTAGGATATTAATAGGGCTGGACCAGAATATTCGATTATTTGAATATTTGTTCGGTGGGTTGGCATTCGATTTTCAATTTTGAGATTCGAATATTCGTTTTTTTCCGAACACCCAGCATCCCCCGCGAAACGGTTCTCATTGGCGCTTGAATATGAATCGCCCATGAGTGAACGTCATGAACATCATGATTCAGTTCATCTGGAAGAGAAGACAAAAATCCCGAAGACCTCATCTGTGTGGGAGCACTTTAAATTGAGTGAGGACAAGACAAAGGCAGTGTGCCAAATATGCGATTTGAAACTGGCCTACCACAACAGCACATCAAGTTTGAAAAATCTGTAAAAGTTCTGTAAGTAGTACGCCTATAGTATATTGTTGGTGTAAAAAACTAGCTGCTTTTATCCGCCATGCTAATCAGTAATTTTACACATGATAAAAACGTGCACTTAATTTGCTTGGAAAATACTTGCGAATACGGCAGTCATAAAAAAATGTACAGTAGCCCAGCCTAATAATAATTTGTCTATATTAAAAGTATTGCTCTTAACAGACCTGTGTGTTTTGTATCACAAGTGCAGTGTCCGTTCTCGGAGCATCTAACACGAGTCGAGCTGACTGACAAGAAGAGTGAGGTGAGACAGACAAGATGATGGCGGATGATTTAGTTTAGAAACTAAATGCAAAAGCTCCTGTTTGGCAGTATTTTGGGTTTTGAAAAGCCTGTTGACTTTTGCCGTTTATCTAAGGTGATTTTGGAAGTTTTTTTAAACATTAATTTCTTATTTATTTGGTTCCACAGTTCCACAGAGGGCTACATGTTTAATTATTTCCAGTTTTGTAGGCTATACCCATTTAAGCTTTATGTAAGTTATTTGTTATTTTATATTAGGTATAGCCTGCCCTATAGCATGGTGTAGCCTATTTTTATTTGTTTTGTTAATAAAAGTTCTATTTTATATAGAGGCTAAAGTGAGTTTGACGTTGTATTTTGTTATTGCATTCAAGCCGAATTGCCTCTAATTCGAAAATGAAAGTGAAAGTAAAATGCGCACGGCGCTTTTAAGCTATTTAAAAGCAAAGGAAAACGAGCAAAAGAGGGAAAATTCAAACGAACTAAAAATGAACAATTGTTTTACGCTGAATTGCTTCTATTTGAAAGTAAAGTGCGCACGCCACTTTTACAAGCTATTTAAAAGCAAAGGAAAGCGAGGAAAAGAGGGAACGCCCCCGCCCCCACCGTGATACCGGTATTATCCGTGTTGTCACACGTCGATTAGCCAGTGGGAAAATTTCCTCACCGTCACAACCCTATTCTCAACATAATAAAAATGCAAACAGACAGACAGACAGAGATTCCTGCCTTTATTAGAGAGAAGAATATGTTCAGCTCCCTCCCTCCGAAGCTTCGAATATTCGGTGTTGACTACTACAGAAGCTTCGAAGCTCAAAAAATGGTATTCGGACCAGCCCTAGATATTAAGTAAAGATCTTGTTCCATGAAGATATTTTGTAAATTTCCTACCATAAATATATTAAAACTTGATTTTTGGTAAGTAGTATGTCTCGCTAAGAACTTCATTTGGACAACTTTAAAGGCGATTTTCTCAATATTTCGTTTTTTTTGTACCCTTAGATTCCAGATTTTTAAATAGTTATATCTCGGCCAAATATTGTCATGTTCTAACAAACCATACATCAATGGAAAGCTTATTTATTCAGCTTTCAGATGATCTATAAAAAAATGACTTGGTTTTGTGGCCCAGGGTCACATTTCATAAATTTTAACCATTGTGAGAGGAGCAAGCTACCTATACAAGAATGAAGAGTGAAGTCAGACCACCACAGTCAACTGGATCTCGATCAGTGTCTGACAAATGAAAATAAGTTACATTTTTGACATGTTTATTTGAGGGCTTAGTCTTGATTTTGTATTGCAGGACCAATGTGACATCATTGATAAACACACACAATCTGGGCTGGACCTGGTGGAGAAATACGTGAAGTTTGTAAAGGAGCGAACAGAAATCGAACAGAATTACGCCAAGCAGCTAAGGTAAGAGATTTTAATATCTAGGATATCCAGTTTGTTCTGGATGTAGCTGTGTGTTAGCGTGTACATGTGCATGCATGCTGGTGGTGCGTGTTTTTCCAGAGCCGTGTCTTATGACTTATTTGGGGCAGAACTGAACTTGTTGGCACCTCTGAGCTGTAGCGTTGGCCTCGGCCCAGAGGATAAGCATATCTGCGCCTGCACCCCTTCTCATTCATGACTAGGCCTTGACACTCGCTTGATCTGTGCCAGACTATTCGGAGTTCCACCCGCTACCTCTGTCTTTCCCCCCTCACGCTGTGAGAGAAGAGAGGAAGTGGGAGCAGACGAGCATATGACTGAGGGGATGTGGATGGATAGAGTGAAAGTGTGGAAAGCAGCGTAGCATTGCCGACTGCCTCTACTTCTCATGTGCAGATGAAGGAAAGAAATGCAGCCTGGTTTTGAGTACAATGGCTCATTTCTTTCGTTTTGTAGTCAAGCTCTTTCGATTACGCCATTGTGATTGGTTAATCGAAATTGAAACACACCACGGTATTCCATGTAAGTGAGCTTCTGTCTTTAATTAGCGTGACAAATGGCAGGACATTTTGCATTTTGTCAATCGCTTGGTTTATGGGTCAATGACAGTAAAGATTTACAATTTGAATTTATGTTGGCTTGGTTTTGGTAAACAGTATTTACCTTTTTCAATAAAAGTTTACATTTAAAGGGAAAGCAAACCAACAAATAAAAATTCCATCTTGCGTATGAAGATATTTTGAAGAATGTTGGTAATCGGACAATGCTTGTAACCAAAAACAGTTTTGGTTCCAATTTAGTATGGGCAAAAAATACAATGGAAGTCAAAAGGAACCAAAACGTTTTGGTTAGCCACATTCTTCAAAATATCTTCTTTCTTCTGTGGAACATAAAAGTCAGTCATGCTGGTTTGTAATGACATAGGAGTGAGTAAGTGATGACATCTGGGTCAATGATTTCCTTTTTGGCTGGAGAACTATCACTTTAAGGACACAAAAAATGTCATGTGGTATATAACAGTTCTGTAAAAATAATAGTATATGTCCTTACACCTTGAATAAAAACTTTATTTTCAAATATTTGGGAAAA